AAACCACGAAGAAACTCACTCAACAGAAAAACAACAAAAAAAAAAAAATAAAAATAAAATAGAATAAAATAAAATTACAATTACTATAAATCAAATCAAATTCTCAAATCAATGATAATAGTTTTCTAACGCCTTATCGGCCCAATCCCAAAGTTGGCCAGCCAATACATCATCTTGTGCGGTCTTGATGAGCTTATCATTAGACGCAACACCAACCGGCATATAAAACTGACCGGTCATCAAACGATCCTTAGATGTCGTAGCAGCCCACAACTGATTATACGCACCCTCCTCCGGTGTCACCATCTGATTAGAAGCAGTCGCATAGATAAAGCAGTGATGCGCCCATCCCAGGTTGTCAACGAGACCAGTAGTTATCACTCCGGGGTGAACAGAGACGGCGGGATATTACTGTTGTAAATGTGAATTCGAAAAGGATATGCTTAGCGTAGAAAGTTGAGGGTTCACTCCGGAGGCACAGGGTATAGGTCTAGATAAGGTTTCAGGCAGATGTGAACCTTGAAGATTTTGGCATTTTCTTGGATATTCCTTGATTTTTGGCAGTATAAAAGTATCGGATTAATCATACGTGATCCAAGGCATCGAGCGCAGCTTTAAAAGAATGTATTTAAACTTGGACGGCTGAAGACCACGTTCTTGCTTGTTCTCTCTTGTGCTGTGAGGGGCTTACTATCTAGGCATGAGGTTACTAAGTAGATATGATCCTTAAAAACCGGGGTATCATCCTTGGGTCTAGGCTCCACTGTTGCTAGACGGGATAGTAGAAATGTGCATAGCACAAGCGCAGGCAACTGGAGCGACGAATGCTACGGGGAAGGATTTTAACCCTACTCAGTTAATGCCGATCAGGCTTGGCGGGAGGGCTCCGGTATTTGTCTGAGTGGAGTATTCTCTGAGCTCTAAGCGTGGCCTCTATTGTTGAGGTATCTCTAATTATCTATGAGTCTATTTCTAACGATACATGCAATATAATAATGCGGACTCGGAGGATTTAAGTCCATAGGAACTTGAGCGCAATCCCAGCCATTCATACCACGTCACGTAGACACCTAATCAAGGCATTGTCGTCACGGTCGTCTTCCCTTGCGGATTCAGTCCAGTAGTATCAAACTCCAAGCTGACACTGCTCTGACTACCGCTATCGCTCGATGCTCCCGGTTCATTCGTGACATGGAACTGACGATGCTCCCAGATTTCCAACGGCTCGTCCCGATTAATATGCTCACCAGACGCCGTGATGTCGACGGAGCGCGTATGCGATTTGTCTCCACCTTTGAATCGCGAGAGATGGATGGTGGAGCTATCCAAACGATTGGTGTACTTGCTTCGGCTGTGGCTGCGGTTATATGACGAGTGTGCCAAGAAGGACTTCCAGTTGAACATCCGCCGGAACAGTGTCCATGTTTGAGGGATATTAGCGACTACAATGGCCGTCGCTGCTTCTCGGACGTACCAGTCCACCCAGCGGTCTCCGTAGGGATTCGATATAGAGTAGTACTTGGAGAGGATCGAGCAGAGGATGACGAATATACCCAGGGAGAAAACGGCGCAGAGCGTCAGCTTCTTGGAGAGGCTTAGCTTGGCCTTGATCAAGAGTGGCAGTGGGATGCACATGATCATCAGGTCGGTGGCGACATTCAGGGCCAAGACTAGGATGAGGTGGTTGCGGTAGACGGAACATTGTATGCTCTTTGGCGGCACCGACCAGTAGGCGGAGAAAGGGTGACACCATGCTGCGAAAAAGAGGATTTCAACTAGCACGAAACTCAGCGCACAGAATGCACCAATTAATTTGACAATTCGATGTTGCGAAAGGCCCGATCTATCGATTAATTAGATTTTAATTGCTAAAGAAAGCTTGTGCACTCACGTCATGGTCGAGTATAATAAGAGCAAGCATGCCTTGCATCCCCAGATGACTCCTAGCCATAGCTGCTCTACTACAAGCACTAGCTTACTCCCCTTGATAAGATTCGGTATTGTTGAGGGATCAATTTGGTCGACTTTGTCTAAGGGAATCCCATTGGTCCCGTACTTTTCAACCTCGATCAAGTAAACCGTTAACAGAATGTAGAGAATCTGGTATGGTTAGTCCGTGAATAATTTTAGAAAGCATTGAACACTATACATACCACATTGACAATCATCACAAGGTCTTCAATTTGGAAGTTTTTGGGCGTACCCAATTGAAGCCACCGGGAGACATAGCGTAGTAATGCTAGGGTGAATCTATTAGAGATCTGCAGATTTGCCCAACATTAAGATAACCTACCGATCAGTACTACGACTGCCAACCACACCCAGCTATTCACATTTGACACCATCCCGACCCGATGGATGTAGGGGGACAGCAGTGATTCCAGTAGTAACAATCCATCGCTGTGATGATTAATACGGGAGAGAGGCCTGGCTCATATATGGACACATATGGACATGACCCGGCGAAAAAAGAGAAGAAGGCGTCCGCACTACGGGTCACAACGACATTCTAATCCCTGGGACTGGAAGGTGTGGCTACCAACTATGTAGTACTGGGCTGGATCCACAGTGGACACGGGCCAGACATTTCCTTATGCTTAATGGGGATAATACCGTGGCGCACGCGTGGCTCTTGCAGCGATTGAGCTGATTGACTAGACGCTCGGAAGATACAGGGATTATCATGTTCAAAATTAAGATTCAGTGGATAAAGGACAGCCTCATCCTTGGTGCAGTGGTTGTGTGTACCAGACATGGAGTGACATGAAAATCAAATTTCTTGTTCATGTGGTTGAAAGCCATTTAAGGTTCGTATCGCTGGACCTCGGCCTGTGTCCGCCGTCCCACGCCGAGAATACTCCTGCTCGTACCGTTTGTGGCAATATTTCGCGACCTAGAGCTTTGCCGTCACAGATGACTCCAAGCCAGGTCCTTAAGAGTGGCAACTTCCCCCGGCGAGGAGAATACGTCAGGGCAAAGTGCTGCGTTCCTGATTGTCAACTAAGCTTAGCATGAGGTAAGACATTTCATATCCAGCCCGTTCAGCCCGAGACAACGGTACGCTATAAAGCTCCGAGATTATACCCTAGGATCCATAAATACGAGCTTCCACGCGTTTTCCAACGATCGCGCCAGTCAGAACACTTCTTACTGGTCTTTTCCACGGATAGGAGAATCCTTATCTAAACGTTGATACGACATGGAAAATTTTTGCTCCTTAATAAAGTTCACAGTCTTGGCAGGCACATATAGTGAAACCAGCTTTCTGACTGGCCGATATCGCTGGAAGTAACAGCCATATGAGTTGCCATAGATAATATCAAGAATTAACTACCAATCATAGTTGAGTATGAAAATACGGAAGGCTGTCGCGTGTTCAATAATGGATGTCAATTGCACTGAGCCTTGGATCATTCCGTGATTCCATGGTCATACCTGGAAACGGACTAATTGGAGGAAGTCCTCTGCCGAGGCATGCCTTGACCATGTATAACGTTCTGGAAGTCCGAACCTAGCGAGGTGCCTGGCATCTTTAATAGATTAGCTCCGTGTAAAAAACTGAGACGTTCTAATATTAATCACAACGGCAGAAGGCGGCCCCGTACATTCGCACGGACGGAATTTATAGCTCTCGCAATCCTCATCAACCATCCCAGCTTCTCTGAGACTTTATTATACATCATACTAATGGAAGATGAAGAGCTGCAGCAGTATTTTTGTCAGAAACGCTTGGGTGCTCGACCTTGCCCAGTTCCGACCGCAGCCAACACATGTCAACGATCTTAGTCGCCGGGAGGCTTAAAGCCGTATCCATTGTTCTTTTCGTAGAGGTTGTAATATTGGACACTTATTGTATTATTGAAATCTTTACTCATTTTGTGTCAGTAGTAAGTAAAGTATATGGCTCCGAATATATGAGCGCTTGGATGTATGAAACTTGAGATTGGTAACCTATTGCGGTCGGAATACAATAGGCTATTGATAGCCTATCGGATTGCCGGTGCGGGATGTACTACTTACTATGTACTCCGTATACTATTCCTATGTTGCTCGGGCCGAATAGGGTTTCGGTACGTCGACGATAGCCTATGCGAACTGGTCGTATGATACAATATAACCGTTCACCATAAGAGAGATATAGGAATATAAAAAGATTCTGACGTACTTCCCAACTGAAGCCACAGGACAATCAAAACCATCAGCGACCTTGAAATCTCAAAATGGAAGAACCAACCTACGACCCCAGGTATGTATATTCACTACCACCCATTCCAACAGCGAATCTGACAGACTAGCCGTCCGATGCCTGCCATCAATATCATCTACCAATACAAGCTCACCCACACCCCTGGCAAGAGCATTGTCGGCCTTCGTGTTGAATTCCCCCCAAACGCGTCCACACCCCCACATCGGCACGGCGGTGCTGCCGTTGCGGCCTATGTTGTTAGCGGAACACTCCTGAACAAGATGAACGACGATCCGATGAAGGTGATTGAGACGGGCGGATCGTGGTATGAGGCGCCGGGATGCCATCACCGGATCAGCGATAATGCTAGCAAGACGGAGCCGGCGGTCTTGATAGCGACGATGGTATTGGATACGGAGGCTTTGGAGCGGGATGGGATGGACGCATTGATTCAGATTGATGAGGAATATAGGAAGTAATTTGACTTATGTACACATGGTTCCTGAAGAACACGTTAGGTAAAATATGGTTATATATGAAACATCTCTGAATTAGGAGATGGAATTGAATCGAACCATGTCAGAAATCAGGTTCGCCATCCGGCAACCACTTGAGCAATGGTAGATTAACGACTTCTTGCTCTATCTGAGACCCGTGTACCATAATTTTGGGTTCAGTATTCGAAGGGCTAGGATCTCTCGAGAGACAATCCCCATCTCTGAGCATGTCCTCTTCCATACTATCTAATATTGACTAATCACTTCCAATATCCCCATCGTCAAGCGAATGATCTACCGCGAGATCCCCAGCTTCTCCACGTCGTAGAAGAATTGACAAGCAGATAAATGATATTTGTATTGAAAATTATGCATATGATGAACGAAAGAACTCCAAAGTTTACTGACACATATATTGAAAGTCACGTTCAAGGATCCGGGTTTCAAATGCCAGGAGGCGGTATGGAAACATAAAAGGGAATCAAGAACAATGTTGCGCGATAGATTGACCGGCAAGCTACTATAGACGGTCTTTTAGCCAAGGATCCTCAAGAAGCCCTCTGGCCGTCTTTCGATCCTCTGCCTTCCATTGCAACATTCCCCTCATGAATGCTAAGAAAACCTCTTTATTCCTTCCCTCAAGAAACGATTCCGACGTTTCTAAACTTTGGTTTGGTATTTCGAGAACTTGTTCCCAGTGGCCTATTGATCATCGATCAGCCGCTAGCTGACGCTTGTTGGATTCAAGAATAGCAACATAGTACATGAAATCCACCTTGGATCTGATGGTCGGTTGTTCAAGGCATTGAAAGGGCAACTACCATCTCATATAATGTGTGGTTCCCATATATGTAACCAGCCACGGACCATGTAGAAGAGCAAATTTCCTTCCCACTCGGTTTGCGATCTCCAAATGGACGATCGTAGTGTCCAATGTCCCGTACGAGACGAGAACTATTTAATTACAGCTGCTAGTGCTATGTAATACAAATTTTAGAGGATGAGCATTGCTTATATCCTTTTTCAAAAATCCAGGCCATTCTGACTTTGAACGGGCGTGTAAAAAGATGGGCTTAAGTGCTTATGGGTGGGTCTCCATCTGGCTAGTACTGTTATTCGGCCCTAGCATACTTGCGTTCATTCAGTTTTTGATCCCTTGCCTGAGCAACGTAACCTGCGGATACGGACTTTTACCTACATCTGTATAACCTACACTACAAGCTACGTGAGAGGACAATTCAAATAAAACTATAGTTTACATTGATCAGAGAGAACTCATGGCGGTCAACCCCAAAGTGTCGGTGCATACATGCCGTGGTGTGGGTCCGTCCCACAGTCCGGTTTCCCGTCCCGGGTCTACACGGTACCAGTTGAAGAAACCGGAGATATATTCCATGCTTTAGCAACGTACTAGGTATGTGGTGATATGACCCTGGTTAGTGTGAATGACGACACAATCGAAAACAGACCTAAATAGAGGAGGGTGAAAGTTGTAGGCCAGAGTATCCCCTCGTTATCAGTCCGACCGCATACTATGGATTCATTACCTAAACCAGAAGAGAAGGGACCCAGGACCCACCACACTATGCCGTATGAAGGACTGATTCAACGAAGTTTAGTAGACAGAAACGAGCTTCCGCCGGAATTGCACGATGTTCGGAACCGAACCATATTGCGGGGTTGGATCTAGGAAACATTCGCAGCGTTTCCTTGGTGCACCACCGCACATTACCTACACGTTGTGTAAATGAAGATATTGTACAAGATAGATGCAAAAGCTCCCAGTATCTAGACATTGAACTTTCAATGCTTTGTTACTTTTACCCTGTGGTAAATGTTGAGCCCGGTAATAGTGAACAATGTGTCCATAGAGGAACTTCCGCCGGAATCTGCGCCATAGTGCGGTATCAATGACAACATCAACGACTGCCTGAACTACAGTGGGGACAGCTCCACATGGCAGGTAGCACATTATCTATCTGGAGGGCTATTTAATGCGGGCATCGGGTGCTATGTATAAGGTACACGTTTCTTCCTGTCTACTCAATCCAGCTCGTCACATACTCAACGCACGAAAATACACACAATGTCCGAAGGTCCAGTCGTAAATGGCCTCTTCCGCCATAACAACACCACCCCTCCAGTGGAGCAAAGTGTTATGGCCCTCTTCTCACTAAAGGGAAAAACTGCCGTTGTCACCGGCGCAGCATCGGGAATAGGGTTGAGCGTCGCACATGCGCTCGCAGAGGCCGGCGCCAACGTTGCGATTTGGTATAATAGGAATAGTAAAGCCGTCGAGGAGGCCGCAAATATTGAAGCCAAGTACGGCGTTAAATGTATGTTCGATACTATCTTTTATCTCCAAGTTGCGCACCTCATTTGAATTTACTGGTTAATCATGTACTAGGCCGTGCATATCAAATAAACATCCGCGAAAGCGAAAAAGTGGAAGAGCTTTTAAATAATTGTGTCCGCGAGCTTAACGGTCGCCTAGACATTTTCATCGCCAACTCTGGAATTCCGTGGACTCAGGGTCCCATGATTGATGCTCCGCTTGACCACTACAGAGACGTGACACAAACCGATCTGGATGGAACATTCTATTGTGCCAGAGCTGCTGGCGCCCACTGGAGAAGGCAGAAGACAGAGGGTACGGATATATTTGGCAATCCTCTTGAACGCTTCACATACGGTAGCTTCGTTGCGACCGCTTCCATGAGTGGCCACATTGTCAATATACCACAACTCCAAGCGGCGTATAATGCGGCTAAAGCTGGAGTGATCCACTTGTGTATGTTGATACCACTGTTCCTGAAATATCCTGGAAAGCACTAACGATTAACAGGTAAATCACTTGCGGTGGAATGGGTTCAATTTGCGCGCGCCAATACAGTCTCACCGGGGTACATTATCACTGATATCTCGACGTTTGTGCCTGATGAGACAAAAAATATTTGGAAAGATAAGATTCCGATGGGTCGCGAAGCCCTGCCGCATGAGCTCAAGGGTGCCTATTTATATCTGGCCTCGGATGCTTCAAGCTATACTACCGGGGCCGATCTTGTTGTAGATGGAGGCTATACTTTACCCTGAGGGGCTATCACATGAATGTAAATACATGCAATGCATGAATAGGTCTGTCTATCAAGAATACCAACAGCTTTGAAATAAATCGTTTACAAAAGTAGGATATATATTTAATTCCCAGATGTCTCCAATCCGATTGGCGCTCATCATGGCAGAGGTGGCCCTACGGATCTGGGCCTTGGCCGATTCCTCAGGGGCAATGGCACATTTCGCAGGCAATAACCAAAGAACAATCATGGCATAAAAGCAATGGCAAGCTCATAGGGAATAAGTCTGGAATTGTTCGAATGGCATTCCACCTTGTGATACTTAAAGGGTTAGGCATCGCCCTGTGAAGTTGTAGCAGCGGCAGTGGAAAGTTGGGAGCACCTTGACGTGGTGATTTGAATCGTGTAGTGGCGGTCTTCGAGAAGGAGAGCAAAAGGAGTCGAAATAACCATGGAATTCAGTCTCATGGCTCCTATCTTTATTATGTTCAATCTATTTAAAATCTGTAGTAGCGGGGAATATAGCAATTATGGTATTCACCATACCCTTTCTATGTGTGTTTTTGTATTTAAGTCTGCAATACAAAAACTTCCGAATGAATCACATGGGAAGATTATCGACAATTTCAGTTAGCCCGCAGTTCCCCTATATTAAAGTAAGCGATCTTTTCTATTGTTCGAAAATGTTGGCCAAGGTACTGTTCTTATCTAGCCTGAGAAGGAAAATCCCTATTCTGGCGTACATCTCTTCCCCAGCTGTTCCCTTCTTTCTCAATATCAGTCCCTCAGCACACTCCTCGCCCCCCAGATTAAAATGTATCAACGCTGCCAGCAGCACGCAATGTCCCTTTATCGGCATTTCATCTAATATTTCAAAACGTGCGTCAAGATGAGGATAATTAAACTGCTTTGTCACCAGTTCGATCTCTTTGCAGAAGGCTTCGATTCTGAGGCTCGCGTAGACTACCGCCTCATATGGGTGACTGTCATCGAGTAGAGTTAATTCATAAGACTTCGCCTCTGCAATCCCAGTGGGATCGTGCGAATACATATACAAACCCCCAACCACGGGTCCATCAATCGAAGCCCAGCTCCACGTGGGAGTTCTGTTCTGTTTCTTGCGCTCTTCCTCACAGATCTCACTTGGGATTCTTTTTATTATTTGGGCTGCGCTGTTATGATCTTCGACTATCTAGGTGAGGGTGTGGGGAAGCGTTTTCTAGAAATGACCAGCGATGTAGACATCGTTCATCGCCTGGCCCATCTTACTTGCTATGGCGGAGAATGCTATAAGCTTGTCTTTGTCGGGATAGGTAAGATCGAAATTGCTATATTTGTCAAGAAAGGTCAACCATATGGATTCCAGGTCTTGATAGCCAGCTTTTCCTTGGTATTGACTTGATTAGCATTGGCGCAACATTCGGACCCACCAGGCTGCCACATGGAAAAGTCTCGCTCGCACTTGGGATCTGGTTACAGTCCCAGAAGAGTCCCCCTCGGCCTAACCTCACAACTCGCGGCGCAAGAAACCACTCTTGGAGAGCCCATGCTCTCTTTCCAAGTGGTTGACATTGGATTCCTCCCGAATAATACCACGACGGTATTATCACCCAGTCTTCCGGTCCCGCATCGCGATTGTCGCCATCGTTCGGATTGACATGAGCTTGAAAGGGTCGAAGTTCCTTTTTCTCTGTATCATGGTGACCTTCAAGACAGCTATGATCTAGATTGGGAGCTGTTGAAAGTGAAAGATTCACGAGGAAGTTCGAGTACACTTCTTGCATTTTCATGGCCTCAGATTTCCAATCCTCGTCGCTTCCAGGGCCAGTCTGAATAATGCAGAAGGCGTGAATCCACAAATACTGGATTCCAATAGTTCTCATCACCCTAATTGCTTCCTGAAATGCAAGTGGAAGACTGGAGTGAGGTATGCCGTCTCGCAAAGTCTGAAGGTTTGAGGCTGACAGGCGGAGAAATGACGGGTTTGGGCCCCAGCAGTAGCTGAGGACCGCATAAGAACCGGATACATCCTCCTTTGCGGGCAAAACAAGGCGTACTGACGACTCTTGTATTTTGAGTAGTCGGGTTGGATATGACCGTGGCTGTGTATCCTTCGGACATGTCTCGTGTCCGTCTAAGCATTCCTTGATCCACCTTTGGGCGGTCGGAATGGCATTTTCCAGCCGAAAGCCAGGTGGTCTGTCTTTGATACTAAAGTCATTCACGATATCTGTGCTTTTTATTGTGTACAAAACCTCCACGTGGCAGTCAGTGCCACCATCGAAGCTCAAATAAAAATAAGACACGTCACCGACGCCTTTGTGAATTGTCACCTTATGGTCTTTCCCCGTAAACTCGTGAACCCTGGACAGGGATCTGAAAGAATATGGTACAAGAAGTTTGCACATATCACAGCTGCTTGTTATGATTTCTGAGGGTGGAATACCTGCATGGTAGTTGTAATACGTCTCGCAGAATTTTTGACCGGGATTTTGCAGAAGTCCTGGCATATACAAGTACATCTCTGGCAGAGCATCATGCGAATCATAATCCTGATATGAAAACGAGATGAAGAAAGGAATGGGGTGATCATATCTAAGCAGATTGGAGCTATATCGATTGCTTATCATGGCTGCCAGGTGAGAGGTTTATTTTACAAGACGTGCACAGCTCAAAACTGTATATTTACACTTATAAACTTGGCCTTTCACGTTGTGAACAACATAATCGGTAAACGAGATGCACGCCACTATATCCATATAAAATGGCATTTTTCATTAACTCAACAAGCACCAATCGCTCATTTCCCTGGGTTGTAGTAGGTAGAAATTATTGCACAATCATACTGCGTATTACCCTAACCTCGGTCTTGTAATATATGCCTTTAAAATAGCTATCTACTGTATTATGGGAGAACTGCACTCTTGGCATTTATCTTGCGGATCTCATATACACCCCCTTTTATGTTCTGTACTAATACAGAGGTTTACTCTGTCGAACAATATCCTAAGCTGTTTTATTTTCTAATTGTCTTGAAGCATTGCTATCAGTTTACTTAATTAAAGCAATTCAAGTAGTTCAGGTATTGAGCACAATGAAGCATCTACTACGCAGGGTAAACGGCCTGGCAAAGGCTACTAAATTAAGCGATCCCGTATAACGCATTCCGACTGCGTCTATTTTACATAGGGAACGGGGTAAGTATGCCCATGTACGACTTCTGGGGTTGAATCACACTATTCTATCCCGAACATCAACCAGTTCAAGTCAGTCTAAGTAGTTCTAGATAGACAAGATAACTAAACGATTGGATGGAGCAGTTGAAATATTTATAGCAATTTAGAAGATCATTATAAAGCTTAATTTGAAGTCTGGGTAAGGAGTATTGTCAAAGTCTTATATACGATATTTTAGATCTGCTCGAGTCAGTGAACGGACGAATTACAGTATATAATATGATATACTGCTTGAACTGATTTAGTGAACTCGAACCACTTGAACTGTTTGAATTACCTAGTTGAGCTCGGTTCATAGCCTTTGTAGTGTTCTATTAGGTCAACTGTTTCGTCGGCAGTAAATTCGGTGACTCTGAGCCGATACTCCAAAAACTACCTTTGGTTAGCTAATGAATGGAAACTACATTTCTTGGCGGTGTTCTAGCCTCTTCCTAGAGGCCCAGGAATTGAGGCAAAAATGTTTTTATTGTAGGAAAAAGGCAATATTAATATCTGACGTAATACAACGCTAAACTTTCACGTCTTTACGTCAACCATAAAAATCGAAAGTGATAAAAGGGCCCAGATCAACCATGCCATTAGACCTCAAACATATTCCATTCAAACATTGAACTCAGCTTAGAGCCAAATTACCAATGTCGGCCTTCCAACTCTGGCAAAAGAACCCGACGTCTACGGGATGCTTTTAATGGAAATCTGGACGAGGTCAAGGAGGTAACCCAATTCGGGTTACAAAAAAAAAAGAATGGTTGTCGAGCCGCCAATCAATGCTTTAGCCAAGAATACCTAAGAGACTCTTTCGTTATAGACAGCCCATCGTTCTGTAATTTTTCTTCGAACCAGCAGTAGGAAGCATTGTTACTTACCAAAGTTAGCAAATGGCTTCGTCATCGAGTGTAACGAGACATGAAGCCCATAGCGTCGTTCGTCAGAATGAGATAACACCACTTTGGAATGACGGGTTCCAGACTTCTGTGGAGTCTATTTCCAGAGATCATTATCCACTCATATCACAGTACGGGGAAAGGCGGGTACATCGTACTATTAGCGGGGGTGATTGATTGTTACTTCAGGGTCTATACAGGTCCGACGTGTGCACTGCATACCCTAATGGTTGATTTGATTTGGAGGGTTGAGGAGGGGTGAGTACTTGTTCTGACTTAATGTGTCAGATTTTATAGTGTAATAATAGCTTCTACTGCGGTCAGAATTAGGTAAAGACTGGTTATCATGATTCATTATCCCAATCACGTCAGGCCAGAACCAATAACCAACATTCGCAACTTGCCCGAAGTGCTCTTTTTTCACGCTAGTAGGACGAATTAAGCTTATTATACCCACACTTCCTGATCATACCATAATACTTGCGCCTATCTCAATGGTGGCGCTTTGTCTCCAAAATAGAGTAAACTATTTAAAGAGTGTCCAGGCCCTGGTTACAAGACTATCACGCTCTACAACTGGACCATCCACCTCAAAAGGCCCAAACCGAATATCTTCTATTCCAGCGCAGGCTCATGATAATCGCAGGGACAATGGGATCTGTCAAGATTACTGAGTAAGAGAAACTAAACTAATATTATCGATACCCTGTGCATGATACTGACCGGGAACTAGCTTGAACACATATCACGACGTAGTCAGCGGCGCTAACTACGCGGTCTTCAACTTCCGTGACTCCCGGCGTCGTTTGTCGGATACTGATGTCGCCTATGATGACTTCGCTTCCTATGCATACAGTGACACAGTGGCATTCTATGAAGTCGATGTGGGCGATCACAAGCATATTTCCGATTATGCGAAAGTGGAACGTCCTACGCTGATCTTATATAAGGATGGAAAAGAAGTCGAGCGTTACTCTAAACCTCTGCCTAGACAGCTGGAGTACCTAGTGTCTAGGGCTTTGTGTGGGCTGACTGAGATCGGCGGGCGTTTCTGATAAAGGGATGGTGAAGAATGGTGGGTAATAATGATTTGCATTTATATTGACGGTGCTGTTTACCCTGTTGGTGCCTTGGATATATTCTACGACCAGCCTTGACCAAGCGTTATTGTTGCTTTTTTGGTCGAGTGGGAACATGCTGGCATAGTTGTCCGTCTTTCCTTTCTTTGCATAGCTGTACATGTCTACTTGGGACGGCGTTTGATTTGTTTGGGTGCATATAAGCCGAAATTGCTCATCTTTACTCGGGCCATTGATCCCAATGGCTATCATTGTTAATATACGGCCAATTCGCAAATAGCCAAGTCATAACCTCCAAATTGACAGCGACATAATAATTTCAATAGTCACAGTCTCACAAAAATATGGACAATTGAACTTCAAGAGATTAGAGTCCATAATTCGGCGTATCTAGCTCCTCGGTCGTAACGCATAAGATATAACAGGTAAAAGCCTCAATTGTCGAGGAAAGCCCGATTGTACCTCCGACAAGATCAGCTGCATTCCAGCTTCTTTAAATAGTTTTCTCAGCTTCTCATCCGTCCTCGTCACACTGCTCTCTGACTCGTCATAGATATCCCCCTCCGGTTCCTCAGAGATATTCTCTTTAATAACCATAATCCCAACATCCGTCAGAGCACCCCGACACCGCACCAAATACTCAACCAATTGCGCATCCGTCAAATAGGGCACACTCCACTGCGCCCAGATAAGATCATACACCTTAACCCCAGGAACCCAATCCTCAATACCAATAGTCAGCACCTCCCCCAGCGCACAATTCCTCGTCAACCGCCTCTCACTCAACACCCGGGAAAACTTCTCCACCGGCTCAACGGCATCAACAACCTCGCACTCCTGACCAAGAAAATCGTTAATCACACGGCCGATCCCAGCCCCGCAATCCACACCGCGCTTGAGCTTCCCCGTCGCCGGACACCCGGGAACTAATCGACGAGCCTTTGCGAGAAAGTTCCGGGATCCGCCCAGATCGGTCCGTGAGACTTGGGCGTAGCCGCCAAGCATGCCGTTCACTGTTGCGGGTTTGTCGCTCCAGTATTTGACGGCGATGGCTTGGTCGATTTGGGAATCCGGACGGGGTGAGGGTGTCCCGTCATTGTCGGTTTGTAACAGCTTTACTGGGTCTGTGGGCATGGTTGGGGAATGGAAGATTGGGTTTAGATGGAGTTGTTTGGGGCTGGAGTGATGTTGGTTGTATCTTTTCCTTTCTGGTCGTCGTGCGGGTCCGCGCTTAAGTAATCGTCCAGCTGTCGCGATCCACCTTGGGCTTTGGGGGGTCATTTTGCCTGCATTGCGTGTAGCTGTTACTTTCTTTGTTTTGATATTTAGGTATCACTGTTCGACTGTTGATACAAAGTAAATAACACGTAGGAAGAACAGCATGTTGAATTAGGTTGCATTTTCTGTACGGTTGATGTCCAGTCAAGGGCACGTGTGGGGCGCGCCTTGCCGGCTGCGGCAATCAGCTTCATGGTTCGTAATCATCGTCACCGTGGATTTGAATATCTTTAATCCACACTTGGATTAGTTTGTATTTCCTGAGAGGCCTTAAATGGTTAGGGTAGGTAGTGATAAACCGCCCTTTGAACATGTCAGATAACTAGATTCGGTGTGTAGCTCTGCATCGTGTGCTACTACACAGCATATATAGATTGGCAAATCCCCAGGCCCAACTTTCTACCAACGCAATACTATACCGAACTAGTAATTCTAGCTTCAGTGCTGGGTTATCCTGTTATCAGTGTACTTCACGACGGTTGCTGTATGACCATCTGGTGGCATGCCTGATAAATATATGCTCGGCTGAGGTCCGTTAATAGAGCCCCTCCCTCCAGCCCAGGCAAGTGCTGATCGTCCATGCTTATCGTCAACGAAGTCTAAGCCACACCTGTCATGGTCTTGTAGTTGCTTCACACCTGAATCAAGCCCAAAGTAGCAGGCGATCATGAGCGTGGTGAAGTTTGTAGGCATCTCCTCATGCGTATTGACCCAGTATACTTTGAACCACAGTGGGAAGCCCATAAACCGGGTATTACAGATTCTCTGGAGCGACTGCATAATTGTGTCCGCATTTATATGTGCATCTTGCAGGTGGAGCGTCCAAATGTCGCCGTACAGTCAAGCAAGGGATAGGTTTCGACATATTTGCGCAAATTGCTCTCCACGAGGGCTTCACCTTACTATAGCTCGGCAACCTCTCTATTGTTGGCTGTGGCATGAATACTGTGAGTCAAAGTACAGATATAGACATAAGGACTAATCAGATTTGATATAATATGATCATATCTCCAGCACCCCTGAGAATATGCTGGGAAAAGTGTGGAGTTAGGAACTATAAACTGTTCCACTAGTTCATGGAGCACCTCCGGATGAATTGTGGTATTAACTAACGGGGCAGGGTCATCCCGAGTGTGTGCGATATGAGTGTCATCGGCGATATTTGCACGCTTTCGCTTGCTCCGTCAAGGGCCCGGCATATTTGATATTTATCTCACTTGAAAGTGTTAGGCTGTTTGGATGTGACTATAACGTATTGAATCAGTTTTTGTCCTGTTGAATTGAACTATACTCTCCGCCCTTGTTAACTTTATCTAACTAGTAGTTAACTTGCTTGATGGTAATTATATAATATACTAGCCAATTAGTTATGTATGTCGAGACGGGGCGGGAGGTACAACAGGATAATCTTACAGATCACCCCACTTCAAAATATTTCGTGGTCAGAAAGAGTAGAGTTGGTCAGGTTTAGCAGGGAACCCGCTCATCTCTAAAACATTAAATCCAAAGTTTTGTCTGTAAGCTAGATTTAGTTCCGCCGTAGTTTTGCTCTTATTGGTAAGATGACCAGGGACTAGACTGCCTATTCTATGCAAGAATGGGTTTAAATGGGTTTAGATAGGTAACCCACGTGGGTTATAGATTATAGTTAGAAACCCAAAACCCATAATGGGTTAAAGGATTAGACCCAAAGCCCAACCCATGATGGGCTAGGTTCGGGTTGGGTTCGCGTTTGAAAATGATTCTGCCGGGGACTACTCCTATCCCACAAGGTATTGGATCCAGATTCCATCAAAAGCCAAGAGGGCCTCTCTGGAAATGGTGCTTGGAGTTGCAGGTACCCTATATGGTACTGCGCAGAATACAAAGGGTTTCCTAGGTAGGATGGCGAAAAGTTTTCAATTCCTGGTTAAAGCGGCGGCCAAACAAGCAGATGAGAAAGTCATCCACGAAAATATAAGAGCAACGGGCGAACCTGCTTCCGCTGCAAGACGGCCAGCGTTTGACGTCTAAAATGGAAGGTCAAGCGCCATCTAAATCATACAAAGACAGCAAGACAGATGATGGTGAAGTCATTGTGGAAGGAAGCTGGACATAGCAGGACGTTGTATCCATACTATCCCGGTGAGGTTCAAATTCCATATACTCGATCTTCTACATTATGGTACGGATTGACAGACCTGGAAAGGCTCTGACCAGACTGGATGTCTGGTCGGGGGAATTCGATAGTGCTGATAAAAGCTATACGGTGCTCTGGGGCATTGAGGCCTGGTGGGGAAAAGAAAATGAGGCAGCAGGGTATACGCCGGATCCATCTTCAGATATTCGCACCCTTCACGACAGCTTCACCTTCCCGGCCAAGAAGCAAATCGACTGGCTGGATGTATACCACCCCGACCCCAGCCAACACGGATGTGTAGACTTACTTCGATTTCATTTGCCAAATGGCGATGAGTACTTCGCAAGTGGAGGTTTTGGGGGCGATAAACATCCACAAATACCACAGGGAGAGCAATCCGTACTAGAGGGCTTTGATGTCGACGTGGAGGGCAAAGAGACTCGTCAACTTCAGCCGATCTTCAAAGATTAGTGGTGGTTCGATAGCAGTAACTAGAACTTGATGCCACAGGTTCCATTCAGTGCTGGATGTTAGGCTTACATAAGAATCAGGTCTGGTGATGTCATTGTAAAGGCTTTCTGGAGCATATGTGACCTTGGTTGAATGGTAGAGAGCGACTATAATGACCGACCCTCTCATACGTGACCAAATACGAACGTCTTCGGCAAAGCAAATTCCAAGAGCAAGAGCTTCGATTGAAATATTGAATTGAACTATAATAAACGGTCATTAATCACACTATCTTTAGTTGTGCGAGGCTTGACTACTACTACTACTACTACTACTTTTACAGAGTTCTATTCAATCGTGACTATGAGGGTATATTCCAGACTCTAGTTCAACTATTTGCCATTCCGGTCAGATGAAACTTGACGAGCAGCGGAAAGATAACTCTTATAATCTATGCAGCCTCCGCCATGTCGTCCTCGTTCTGTCCGCTATCTTGGTCAGACTCTTCGAAGAGCGACCATAATCCATCATTCTCTCCATCATCATCCCCAGTAGCACTATCGACCTTCGGGAACTCATCTATCACATCTTTAAAAGCACGGAACATCCTATGATCTGACTCCTGGTATACATAAACCAAGGCAGACCACAAGTCATCATCCTCGACCACAGTCTGTCTCTCAGCCGGTGTCATCGCGGTGACTACCTCCAACATCGCATTTTCAAGGCTCACATCCCAGCCGTACTTGCTTCGATCCTGCTCCCAAAAGTTGTCTCGAGCCAGATCCATGAGAATGTAGCATATCTCGCACAGGACTGTAAGCCCGTTAGCCCGAGTTCTGGGATGCGCGAACGCCCCACAGTGATCGGCGATGAGTTGAACCATGTTCGTAAAGTCATCATTGCCACTGTCTGGCAAGCTGTTCCATAAGCGCAAGAATTGAACGCGACTCTCTGCCTCGTCCATTGCTTTTCGAGCAGCTTGAAGACAGCTCCTGAAACCCGTTACTGTGCTCATTTGGCAGCGGTACATCCTTGTCCTGTGGTCCATCCTTTCCGATACTTTAGACTCGACCAGTCTACGCACTTCAACGTAATTGTCCCCTGCGGTTTGGAGAACCCCGATGAGCTCGGCGCGAGTCATGCATTCGAGACATGAGGCAAGATTTCGTACTTTGTATGCTTCCAGGGCAAGCTGGTGAGTGTCATCTCCCCTCAAAAGTTCGGTGGTTACGGAGGAATCCGTTGCGTTCTCGATTTCGTTCTGAGAACAAGACATCGTGGACGATCTTTGTTTTGGGGATATACAATAAATCTGGGAACGAACAGCCTAGGCTGAGATGAAGTGTCACCTCTCAGATGGTTTGGACTCTGGTAGGTGTGGAGAGTTAACTTCCTGAGTAAGGCAGATGGTTGTTTGAATGAAAGCCGTGCACAGAGGCTCCGATGTTTGGACGTATTTAAATAAACTGTCGTCTTAAAGAACTTTCGAACGTCAGCATCACGCCTCACGGGATATACCATTGTCTTTGTTTTCCTCGCTGTTCGATTGTCTATAAAGTGGCGTACAGGTTGGTGGAAGACAAAGAGGTTTTTCAAGGTCAACGGGGACCAATGATGGCTCTGTATTGTCTCATTGTACTTGGTGAAAGCCCTTTAATTCTCTAATCATCTCGTGAAAGGTTCTTGTGGAGTCCATAGCGAGCGCGCTTTCCAGACATATCCTGCCTGGTTTCTGAATAAGCTTCTTTCCAAGCCACCAGAGCTCGAGAGAATGCACCATGAACCCCGACTGTCTGATATCACGAGGCGTGACTGTTGTATATGTTAAATCCCACATTTCCTTCCATCTATCGAAGGCAACATCAAGGGACCAAAAGGGTCCAGATAAATCAACACAGGTGCCCAGTGCTTGGAGGTCGAACAATATACAATGTAGACCTAGTCATTTGAGGATCAGCGACACGCCTAGTGAGTGAGCTTTCGGTGAAGCAACATACTCCCTAGAACTAGAAACAGACCAAATAATGTGCATGGCTGGGAGAGCAGTTCCTCAAATTGCCCATTGTCTCTCTCCATCAACCGCTGTATAATGGACTTCAAAGTCAGGGTGGGCCCGTGACTGGTTGCATTTTGCGACGCATTTACCCATGTGGAAGGATCCATTGTATCGTAAAGCTCCTCATGTTGCGGTAAGCCAAAGCAAGCTTCAGCAATCTTAAATTGTGGCGGGTTTCGATAGTAAACGACCAAATGTGAGTCCACAAGGTAAAGCCACGCCATGGTCCTGCAAAAGAGATTTAGTTTTAGCTCTCACGCTGATCTCTGTTCGACTAACCTCACAAGACTCTCTTTATGAAAGTACCTGTCCAACTCAAGAGACTCTGTGTCGCTGACAGCGTCGTTGGTAGTCTGCGTCAGTCTTAGTGCCCGTGCAGCACAAACCAAAGCCGGGAACCGCTGAGTTCGAATCCGTCTTTTGATAGTTACATCGTTTTTAGACCCCTGGATGATAGCTATCAGCATTGCTGCCTGAAGGATTTCCATATTTGCTTTCGTGAGGGACGGGTCGTCTATATTAAGGACCTGTCCGAATTCACATCCATCAAAAATGAGATGCTCAGCTACGTCGGAGTACACTTCTGCAGTGGATGCATCCTGTGATGATACACATATCGCCCCCATCAAAGCAATAGACAATAGCAGCTGGGCTGAAATTGTATTAACGTTGAATGATGCTTTATGAATGAAGCGTGTGTTTTTGTATGAGTGCTCAAAGAAGGCCTTGACAAATAAAGTGACATTGGTTGGTGAGAAGAACCTTCCAGCCTCTTTCATAGTAACCTGCCCTTTGTTGTCGAACTGCGATTTGAGCGCGTGCCTGATCAGGCCTAGAATCCTCGATACCGTGTTGCTCAGCTCTTCGGTGTCTGCAAGCCCATACATAAGGGACTGATCTTGGTCTGACTTGTCCAACGCTGCGGTGTCAATAAATAGGTGGAACAGCCCCATCCACTGCTCTGTGGCGCTATCAAAATTGCGCATTTCGCATTTCCCTAATGATGCATATTTCCCTAGATCTTTGTCGCACCCCGTGAGCATCTGTTGAACGTCATATAATCTCCTGCTTGCCGGATCGGTATAGTTCAGGAGAAAGTGGACTGGGATTCTATTGATGTTCGAGTCTTCTGGTTTCTCCTGCCCATCCTGGCTGCGCCTAGCCTTCCCATCCTGCTCTCCCTTGCGGCTAAGTGAGCATTTCAATCCTCTATGAAGGCATGTCTCGCATGGAAGCTCTCCATCGCACTGGGTACGGCTCTCGACACATGCATCGCACGCTTTCCGCTTTCTACCCTTCCTTCCTTCAGATGGAGTCGGGTTGCTACCCCTCCGTTTACAGGATTGGAAATGACGGCGAAGAACGTCCCTTGGGATGTTTTCGTCAGACTCAAGTCGTCATGTATCAAGCTAAAGGCACACAAACCTTCGTACAAACGTTTGTTCGCAGAACTGACAAAGAAAACGCTTTCCTGAAATATCTGAGTGACAAGTTAGTTTAATACCATTACATACAGTCGGAAATCGGGTCTCACGCGTTGCTTCGTGTCGTCGCAGGTGACTGCTTGTCGAATAAACCTGGTGGCATTTTCCGCATTCGTAACGCTGGCGGGAAGCAGGCATCGTCGGGGATTCGCTATGGCCACTTCAAATAAAATTCACATTTGTCTTATTACGTTGGACACCTTTGTTTAATCTTTCAGTTTAAACCGATCATCCGTCGTCAGTTAAGTTGCAGAATCAAAAATTATCGGGCAAGGGAAAGTTTAGCTGCGCTTTGTCATCACCGTCCCGAGATCCAAATTTGACCGTATAGGGTAAAGGATTGCGATCTACTCACTTAACTACCTTTTCACTTATGATCTCTATGGTTGCAGGACTTGCCCGATAGCGCCAATCGACTTCTCAGATACGGTTCAGGGGACATGAAATCCATACGGTGCAGTACGGGGCCATTCAAGGTCCAGTTTCCGCTGTGGAAATGATTAGTCGGGAAAATCCCACATAGTAGGGGAAAACCCACTTGGCAAGAAAATGCTATACTCCTCGCAACAACCCCCTTTTCGTTATGTTTACTTCCCATTTATTCCTGGATATTCTCTTAAATCTACTAGCGCTCATTGCGCATATTGACTGGCTTTTACCTTTTTCCAATAGGCCAACGATAACCCTATACCCAAGACAATCAAGATGAACGCTCTGAAACTCAGTCGGGGTAAGTAACATACAGAAAAGCAATCCTTGCCCCCATTATAATCTCTCTTGACCGACACTGACATACAAAAGGTTTATTCTGGCCCATTCCGAGACCATCCCCAGTACTATCGCTGGCTACCCCAACTGTTCTGGGAACACGTCGGCAGAACACAACCCAATCAAAAGTCAACGAAGCGCGAACTGCCCTCGCAAAATCCTTCCCTAGATCTAAGTCAGTCACCATGACCAAAGGAACCCACTCCAACAAAGCCGAACACGTTCTGTAAGACCACCGACCAACACCTATCTCTTCAAGCAAGCCCCTAACGAACAAACCGATAGGACAACCATCGATCAACTCGTAAACTGGGCCCGCCAGAGCTCCCTCTGGCCGCTAAGCTTCGGCCTAGCCTGCTGTGCCGTTGAAATGATGCAAGTCTCGATGCCCCGCTACGACCAAGATCGACTCGGAATAATCTTCCGTGCCTCCCCTCGCCAATCCGACGTCATGGTCGTGGCTGGCACAGTCACCAATAAGATGGCTCCTGCTCTAAGACAATGTTATGATCAAATGCCGGACCCGAAATGGGTTATCAGTATGGGTAGCTGCGCTAATGGGGGTGGATATTATCATTACAGTTATAGTGTTCTTAGGGGTGTGGATCGAATTGTTCCTGTTGATGTTTATATTCCGGGTTGTCCGCCAACACCTGAGGCATTCTTGTATGGTATTTTCCAGTTGCAGAAGAAGATGAGGCACACCAAAGTTACACGGATGTGGTATCGGCGGTAGAATTATGTTCGTGGGATATATGGGCACCTTGTAGGGTGAAGGGTATATGCATGGATCTGCATTCCATTTATTTCTTATTATTCTGTGTGCGATTAGGTTCGTCTTATGTTTTATTTGTCTATTCCAGCTATCTCCGGGAAGTGCGGTGTGACCGGATAGAGTTGTAATCCACGTAACCATAGATACTGGACGTCTAGTCGTCGAGCCTACAGTGGAGGGTGTTAAGTTTAATGCTGCCTTACTGTTGCTGTTCGATTTAATGACCAGAGAGGACGCAGCTTTGACTAAAAGAATGCTAGTCAAAATCCTTTTCATTCCAGCATGCTCGACTCGTCTTTGGGCAACAGTTTCAACGATAGGTCAATATCGTTTATCGAATCAGTTAACTGACTATGCCTTCTACAGCCCATACAATGACCCCTCCATGACCGAGTGCAGACGTATCTACTTATGCCTCCGATAGGTAATTATTTGTCGAGCTTCTCACCATTCCCCACCTGTAAATCCCTTTCAAGACGATCAACAACGGCAGATGAGAACTTGAGGTTCTCCTTGTCTTTTCATGGCCTATCTACAGTGTCTAAAATCAATTTTATTGTTTCTTTACCAGGTTAACATCGTGGGGGTCTTTATTCTCAGTCTCTTCCTCTCCTACTCGACTTGATATTTTGTTCATCACTCCACCGTTGCCGCTTTCTCAAGGGCTGACTGCATACCATGTCTTCAAAAGCAGAAAGAAATAACACAAAAGCCGACAAAGCAACACGCACGATGACTTCAGCGGAGATGGAATATAAACAAATACGAGCCTTCATCAAGGAATATAGCAATAAAAAGTGTATCATGGTTGCCGTTACCAAGGATGATGAAACTTTGACTTCTTTGGATAAGGAGCACCGACGTAGATGATGGCATCTGTCATGTGAGTAGCATAAACCATTTGCTCCCACATGAAGTTCATGGACTAATTTGATTCAGCACCTAAAGTCATTCCAGTGACTGTCGAAGATATTCAATATGCGATGCATGAGGCATGTAAGTTGGCTGGACGTCGGAAGAGCATTAGGGTTTTCATAAGCTCATATATCCTCTATCTGGCATATTATACATCGTCCGCCTTGCCCTGCACCACCTTTGCCATGATGCCCAGGTGGTGCCATGAGCAGAAAGGTTCCTTTCAAAGAGAGGTGGTTCTTCGTTCTAGGGCTTGCAGCACTAAGAAGGTAGAACCAATGGTCAATGCGAAGGGCAAACCTGCGAGCGTTTATGATACTTTCGTTGAAGTTTGGAATGACGTTACCTACGGGGATGAATGTCAGTGAGATGGGTAGAGAGAAGATGCTGTTTCGTTCCAATTATTGTTACTGGGGTTATAGATTGATTGGGTTGCGCTGAGAGCTCCTCGGCTTTACAAGAGGTGTTGCTCTCCCTTATTGTCTTGGGCAATAAGCAGCTTGATGTCCGATGAGAACACCGTATCTCATTTCTAGTCATCTAATTTTAATACAAATCATGATATCTGCCACCTCTATTTGAATCATCCAGGCGTCCCAGACGTTAAACCCACAAGCTGTTAAAAACATGAACAATAGTCCGGAGTACAAGCCAAACCTTCTTCGGCAATTATAGCAGGCAACATACCCTACCCCGAATTAGCCGACAAATCCTCCCGTCATTAATCATTCCATCTCCCCTCCATCCCGTCCAAGATCCAAAATACTATACGAAACATCCGGATTCCCAATCTGATCCACAATATACAGGAAGTCCGAAGACGAAATGCCAATATTATTAAGCAACTCGACACTCGACATCTGCATATCGGTCGGATGCGAAGTAAGCGAGTCCCCAGGAATCGGGAGGTCCCAAACCCCAATATCAGTAACCGTCTCTCCCTCTCCATCCTCCTCCATTCCCTGGGGTTGAGTCACAGCATCCGGACCGGTTGGGCTCGCTAGGGTCAGAGGCTGGAGTCCCTGGGATTTTACTCGGGAGGCTAATTCCTCAAACAGCGTTTCGAGATGTACGAGCTCTGTCTTCCGGACCTCGGCTACTTTGTTTCCGTTGGAGATCATTTCGTCGAGGATGCAGTGCGCTTCTTCGAGGTAGGCTTGGCCATCTAAAGCTTGGGGAAAGACTGCGTTTGCCATTGCTAGGTGGAGGGCTGCGGCGTATGTGAATTCGAGGTCGTAGGGGAGGAAGATTTCTATTTTGTATGAGATTAGTTGGGTTTGATGGGTGTGATAATGTAACAATGCAAGCCACTTACCCAGAAGGTTATCGTCATTGGATAATATTTGGAGCATTTTTACGGCGGACTTAATTCCGATCGATATCAGGGTCTTTGTAAGAGCTAGGAATGATTTCCAGTATTCTCGCTCGTGATCGAGGTTCTCTAACCGTTCGACGAGAGCCGAAAGAAGAAGTGGTCGGGTTGCCACAATTACACACTATACAATGTCAGTTAGACACTGAGTTCCTCGGAATTCATAAGTAGCTATTCTGTGCCTACCTGGTGGTACAGCAATGTGATATGTCGCGTCCCTTTAGGCATTGTATCGACGGAATTCGAGAACCGGACGTGAATGATTTTCTCCACTTCCTGGGCATGTCCAGCTAATGTATGTAGGATGGACCTCGTCATTTCCAGGAATGCGCCGAGTTGGGTTTTTTCGGTTTTGTACACAGCTGGGGGTAGGATATTGTTGGTCATCGGTAGATATCAGGGGGTCAGGGAAGCCTACTGTTAAGGATGTTTGAGAGCAAGTGCGATAATTTGGCCTGTAGACTCATGACAATGTCTCGATGCGAGCATGTGCTCGGGGGATCGATCGGGGTACTGATATCGCTATCCTGCGTCATCATCGGAAGCCCGACAGAGTATGAGAAATGGCGGTCGAGGATGTACAAGGTCCACCAGAGGTCACGGCATCGGGATACGGTTTCTGCGCCGAGCTGCTCCTCCGGTAGTTGAGTGTGTAGGCCTTCGAACTGTGCGATTTGTATCGCTTGGCGAACCTGTGGAAAGTAAGCATGAGCAAGAACACACTCCAGCACGCGAACATGAACCTTACATAAATATGTGCCGACTCTCTTTGGTCGATCGAGTATAGATACAGTCCAGCCAGGGCCAACACTTCAATGGCTAGTAGACTTCCCTTCCATAAAGGGGCGTGATCCGGCATCAGGGACATCGCACGGATGAAAAACTTCGATCCAGGGGGGTCTTTGGATCTTTTTGACCGGTGAAGAAAGGCGGTTCCAAATGCCAAAACCAACAGAAACTGGATAAACCATAATCGTTGCTCGGTCGCAAATTTTGCAGAGTCCCCATAGTAGAATTCCCGTACATTGTGGATAAATTCGTCTTCATTGTACAGGCGATAACTTTGCCCCAGGTGGAATTTAACTGTCTCGGAAAGATAAAGCGCGTGGTCGAGGGATGGCAGGCCACTTATATCGGGGGTTTCATCGGCTGGACAAGCCTCCCATCGTATAGGGTAGCTCTCCTTTTCTGAAGATGTAGGGGCATTATGTAGGGTTTTGAGCTGTAGTTTCTCGGTCATCATGATGGTTAATCGAGTCGTGAAGGACCACATTGACGAAGGCGCTAGCCAAACTATTTTTACTGTTAGTTTTGAATGCAAAAGATCTAAGTCGAGAACCTACTCCACGTCCGTTTGTTTTGCTGATTGTTCCGGATGGTCGTTGAAGGTAAGGTAAAGGGACTAGTCCAGATACTCTGTGCATAACCGAAGCCATGTAGTTGCAATGACTCTTCCGTTGATTCAGAAGGTATCCCTGCGGAATCCGCTGTGCTTGTGCCTTTAGGCCTGGTCTGCGACTCAAACGGGGACTCTGGAGGGCTTCTGACACCAGCAAGTTGCCGGCGTTCTTCGACCTCTTTCTCCAACTGTCGAAGATATCTGTCCTACTTGTGTCATCAGACAGATTCCTGCAACATGCACGACGAACCAACCTCTCAGAAACCACAACCCGATTGACTCCCTCCACAAACTCACACCTCAGTCCACGCCGCTGGCAGTTAGCGCACGGCGCATCGCCGGTACATTTTATTTTACTATGACGACAGGCAATGCATCTGTGAAACAGGTGAGTCTTCATTCAATTAAAACTGTTTCACTTCCCAGGGGAATTGCTTACGCATTCGCTGTTCGTCTTGATTTCCGCGGACCGTAGCTCGAACCGTTTTCCATCTTTTCCACGGCGGCGATATGGAATGAAGTTGGAAAAATATAACTCAGGGGATCAGTATTTTCATATAGACAGTGTCTTTAAAAATTTCCAGCGTATGTACCCCGCACCTGGAAAGGAGTTTCTGATCTCCTGTGGATCATGGGGCCAATTCCAAGTGGAGAGCCAGCCCTATCTTAACCCGTTATTGACAGCATTTCACTGGGTCTCGTGTTTTTCACCTCTTGCAGGATAGTTTTTCCATGAAAGGTAAGCTTCGGAGTCCCACTTCGTCGTTTATCCTCCCTTCTGATTCGTCCCCCGCACATCCTCGGGAGACCCATCCGATCACGCGGCAAATTTGTCGGCTTCCTCGGGTTCGTGATTCTTGAATCTTACGAATATCGAGATGGATAGAACTTAGATTGGCTGCCACACACCCCGGAATTTATAGGGAGAAACCATAGAGTTTGAATGTTTTGATGATTTTAATATTTGTGGTTTCAATTTTTATGTAGTGATAACAGTCAATTTGGGTTTCCTTAACTTTGTAAACATAATATTTATCAGATGATGCTATGTGCTTAAAAAAAAAAATACATTTTCTCAATATAAAAACAATTCTTAGTTCAAAAGATCACAAGAGCAGAAGCCTACTCAATAAGTTCCGCAATTGTAGCATCCAAAAACTCCCTCTGGTGGATCAAGAAGGTCTTCATATCCGAGATGTTGAAGGGACGCTGTCCCAGCTGCTGTTGGCGTTCGTTCTCCAACTGTGCACGAATCCGCTCCTCGAGGACCTTCAGTCTGTATTCGGACCATTCTCTGTATAGCTCTAAAACGTTGCTGATAGGTCGAACTCCAGTAAGGACTGTATCATCTTTAATGAGGGGAGATTTTGCGCGGAAGGAAGTGATCATGCTAATCCGTTCGCGCCCTCCAAATGCCTTCAGGGCCTGGTGTTCAATATATCTACCTTGCATAACAACGGCAGTTCCCTATGAAGTTGTCAGTAAGACAATCGCTCATATATCTTAGTTCCTAACAAAGTATCCAGGCTACTTACCATCGCAGGCCCACGGACTTTCATGATCTCACCACTCGCTGTCTTGAGTGCAGTCTCTCCTCCAACCATGCCAGTGCAATCAGAAAGCATTGTAACACACACAAACGGGTAGCTGTCCCAGTGCCATGCAAAGGCAGGCAAGTCTTCATCTTCTGACTTGGTGTCCTTCATGACCGTCTTAGTCTCGCCATTCACGGCAATATTGATAGCAGCAATCTCATAGTTCATGGCAGGGATAAGGTCAACGCCAGCCACCTCTGAAATCTTCGCGAGAACCTCCGGGGAGCGCCAGGCATCGCAAATGAATGGAGCACGTCTATTTTCGGTAGTTAGCATTTGTCAAGCTCCGTCTGGATCTTAGAATAAACTCACGCGGGCCCCATGCCCCGAATGGTGTTCTTCACAAAAGGCGACGTATATTGGCATTCATCCAGCACCGGCTTGCTGAAGATCTCAGCTCTCATCTGCTTAATAGCTTCCTCCGTGAAAAGTTGGAATGGTGCAGTGACTGCATTCGGGGAGATTCCCTGGCCTTCAAGGCCAATATCCTTCATCGTGTAGATCTTTGATGGAGGTTGGTAGTTCATGTGTCTTTTGGGGTCGAAGGATTGCTTTTCGTCGACCTTTGCTTCATCGATGAGCCATTGCGGCAGCTCGTTGGTTGGACGTGCTCCTGTGAGTCTCACAGGGCCAACCATCGTGTGGGCGATCGTGGGGGGTGCAACTGTTGTGGTCGACATTTTTCTTGTGGAAGTAGCTCTTTGGTTCAAGAGATATTGAAAGTGATGTAGACTTGCTGTGGGCTTCTGAATGCTAGGGTGGAAATGAGGTTGTTTATATAACCTAATATGATCTTGACATCAAGTTGGAGATAGGATACGCAGAACGCTCGTGTGACGATGATTCCAGGAATCAGCTCGGATTATCCTCCCGATTAGCCGTATGAATTATCCTAAGAGAGGCAAACTATCTGCTAGCCTACACCATGAATGTCATATCTCGGGTCAATCGGATTGGGGAACTATCTCGGATTCATCGGGTGTTCGGCTGCTCTTGGCGATGCCTATCATTCCTGCTAATTCGACTGAGTCCAACTCCGCGAGAGCCGAATATAGTGGCATGACACGCGGACTTGAGAATTGCTATCACTATCTTGCTTATTGAGCAAAATGGCCCTTTAGACAAGGGGTTTTAAGGAAGATAAAATAAGGAGGTATATAGGAGGTATATATTAATTTGATAGATGCCACGCTATTAATTAATGAGTACATGAACGGAGAAGGCATATAAACAATTCGACACCGCTAGAGACTAGACTGCGAACTGCACTCTATATGAAGCTAGCGATGTCCGGGATTGTTTTTAAAAGTTTGATAGACTGTATGGGGGCCACCGTGGAGAAAGGAATGTGGGGTCTATGGAGCAGGTAGTATCCCCTAGAGTGTCCATAGAGATTTCAAGTATTATAAATGCCACCGTCTGTCGTTATCCGTCTCTTGCTCTTCGAGTTGTATCTATCATTCTTTAAATCTCCTATCCTTTAATTATGGGCACAAAGGAAGCTCCCACGAGCGATGGCATCGAGGATGTCAGCTATGGTATGCATTATTATGACGCCCATGATATTCAGAAGCCAGTAGACGTCGTCACTGGTACGGACCAAATGCAACGACGTCTCGAAAATCGGCAAATTAAGATCATGGGAGTCGGCGGTGCAATCGGTACGGCACTCTTCATCAGTATTGGCGGCTCACAAATCTCATCACCGCCGGTGCTATTATCTACTACATCGTTATCTGTGTTACATATATTTTCTTCTACAGAGCCTGCCAAGCACAGTCCGTTGACCGCAAGGCATTCCCCTACTTCGGCCGGTTCCAGCCGTACAGTGCCTGGATTGGATTGATCGGAGAATGTCTCATTGTTATCTTCTACGGCTACTCCAGCTTCATTCCTTGGGACGTATCGAACCTTTTCACTCACTATACCATGCTTATTTTGGCGCCGATACTCTACTTCTCTTGGAAGATATTCTGGCGCACTAGAGTGGTAAAGCCCGGAGAAGCGGACTTGATTTGGGAGAGGCCAATGATCGATACGTATGAGGCGGGACTTACATCTCCGCCGAGGGGGTTCTGGGCTGAGATACTTCTGACTGTCGGTTGGAGGCGAGGCCCCAAGAATCAGGAGGCCTCGAACGGTTGTTGATTATAGAGATCATGTTAGACTTATATGGAGGGCCAAAAGGTCAGGCTTATAGACATAGACAGAGTGGGCGCGCAGACACATCACGTTATTCATTTGGACGCGCGTGTAGTATAGATAGATTTCCCACTATAGATTTGGTTTTGGTATTTCTCTCCAGCTAGCATAACGAAAACACTTCTCACGGGACGCATTTGTATCCCGTAGCCTGATTAGAAGTCAACCAAAACAATATCTAATCCACGTCTTCGCACCCTCGGAGTGAAACTGGTCAGGACGCGACACACTTGACAGTGAGCCCCAACAATTGATGGGGTGTAAAACAAGTCGACTCTGAACCGTGATAGGAAAGCATAGGACAGAGAATTTTAGGAAGACAGCTTGGGGTGGTTTGGAAATAGATTAAAAGCAATGCTCCTCCAAAGACATACAAATCAGCCGAAAAGCTCAGAGAGTCCACGTTAGGGTTACATACAGAGTGAGCGTGTGTGCCAAGTTATGCGCGTGTTCCTCAGTTAACATTCTTGGTCCTTTCATTTCTCTCAGCGAATAGTATAGCAATGTGCAATTGATCAGCTCGATCAAAGCATTTTTAAGGTTCATGTGAGATTAGCCTTCAGAGGTGCATTAGGTATTCCTGGAGAGTAAATAAAAACCAGATCTTGCATTTATGGTTAATTAGCACGAAGTTCACGTACATAAACGTATCTCTCCGTGTGTGTTTGGCATTTATATCAAATTCAACTTTACCTTATCAAGCCATCACAGGCTTTGAAGTCCAACTAACCACAGATCCTGTTTGAGAGCAGCACTGTCCATACGGACACTGGAGTTTTGATACTTCCTCCAGCCCCACATCCAATGATGGATGTTTGTTGATGCTGCCTAAATAGGCATAGCTCCATCGTTCCTAAGAGATTTCTCCTCCCGCAAACATGCGGATAGATTCAAGCATTACCAAGACCTCAAGAGGAATTCAAGCATTCTTTCCCTCAAGGATAGATATTATAAGCCTCAGAAGAGGCAGTGGTTGGACAGCAAAACTCGTTTACGAAGCTTGCGCGTAGAGAAGTTGCGCTTGACAATCAGATTTCAGGGCGTCATAACACGGCTCTGTAGGTAGAGTAAGGACAAACTACAACAATAATGATGACCCATCATATCCGTATAGTAGTACAAGATAAACTAAGCTAAAAGGGAAAGCCTATCCCAGAGCAGAGGAACTTGGTAGACATGCCCAAGCGCGTTAAAAGAGAGCACAGAAATCCGGCAGGTGTAACCTGTTATTATGTAATATGTTAAGGATGAAATGGATCCAGTAGCAATTTAGGTCCATAACTAGCCTATTGACAACCGTGGGGGATATGAAGCGTGGGAATAGAATCCCCATGGGGAACCCGAACTCCCCGAGCGGCTTTGGATGACCGATGCCGCGATGTGGGAGACTCGGGATCCACGGGACGGCTACTACTGTGATAATATTGATCCACTAAAAACCCGACGATGCCGAACATCTACACATCTACACGTTTTCCGGAAATAGAAGACTCCATTTGCTATTGTAATTAGGTCGGTGTAATATACCGACAATGTATACTGATAAAGCAAGCAAAATGAGAGCACCGTCCGTTATCTTCCCCGGCAGAGTTATGCCAGTACCAAAAGCCGTGCCGATCGTCCTCGTCCCTATTTAGTCGCCTCCTCTCCGTCGCTTTTCTTCTTTGACCAGACACATCAATATCAGCACAATGCAAGCGGCCAACCGACTCCAAAAATCCCTCACAAAGGGCGAGCCCTCCTTCGGAGGCTGGCAAATGCTCCCCGGAACCAACCTGACCAGAACCATATGCCGGTCTGCAAGAAACCTCGAATGGCTTCTCGTTGACCTCGAACACGGCAACATCTCCGATGACTCGATGCATGAGATTGTGGCCGCTACTGCAGCGTGTGGAGTGTCGCCTATCGTCCGTGTTGCAGAAGGCCAGCCATGGATGATAAAACGAGCATTGGACTCCGGCGCCCACGGTATTCTTGTTCCAGTAATAGATACAGCAGAGGATGCGAGGAATGTGGTGCGATATTCGAAGTTTCCCCCACTTGGGAACCGAGGCTTTGAAAGTCTCCTGGCGGTGGAGAAGTTCGTGGAGCAACATCCTCACGGTAGTGAGGTGAAAGAGTTAACGGGTATGGAATACTTGCAGCAAGCCAACAGCTCGCTCGTTATCGCGGTACAGATCGAAACAAAGGCTGGCCTGGAAAATGTCCGAGAGATTGCTGCCGTACCTGGTGTTGATGTCCTGTTTATTGGGCCTTTTGACCTGAGCGTCAACATTGGTCATCCCATCACCAACCCTGAGAAAATGGACCCTGAGCTTATGGAGGCTATTCAATCAATTCATGATGCTGCCCAGGCCGCCGGAAAGGCTACTGGAATTTACTGCGACACCGGTGAGCAAGCGAGAGAATACGCGAATAAGGGATTCCAGATGATGAGCGCGATGACGGATATGGTGGGGATGAGGAAGGTGTTCAGGCAAGCGTTCAATGCTGCCAAAGGAGATTTATGGGATTAGGTAATTAATTAATTTATGACTTCAGTGATGCTTGTGAAGTAGTACCCCTATCTCTGTTGTAATAGACGCAAGGTACAAGTTCAACGTACTATTTAATATGAGTTCGAAGGATATGAAACGAACGACAATATATATTTCTGCGTGATACCGTGGTCGATTGAGGTCGACAAAACTTTTAACGGCAGCTTGAGCCAGCAACCTGGCGGTGCATCGCCATTGAATATAGACCCTGAAAAAAACATATGAAATGGTGAACTTGTCAGTCAATTAACCGAAAATAAATCACCAAGATAATTACATACAGACGCTAATCATGTATGTTGCAGATCACGTGATGCGAATGCCGATTGAATTGCCGTCTGGGTATCTTCGGCTGTAGCCCTACGATGACCTCAAGAACAAAAACCAATAGAAGTAGTCAACTCATCGTAGACCACAACAAATACCATCCGACGATAATAGTAGAGTATTAAGCACCATGGACCCCATCCCTAACTGCCAGCGCGCAGTGGTCGTGCAGAGCCCAGGAAATAATTATGAAATGATCATTCGCGATGACATCCCCGTCAGAACACCCGGAGCAGACGAGATCCTAGTCAAGTTGTCATGTACAGGACTCTGGTGAGCTTCGCGCCTGCCCTTTACCCCCTCATAAAATCAAAAGCATGGACATGCTAAACCATAAGCCAGTCACTCTGAAATCCGTGCCGTCCTAGCCTGGGGAGCATACAACCCTATCATCGGCCACGAAGGTGTCGGAACTGTAATCCAAACCGGTCACAATGTTTCCCCCTCACTCCTGCACCAGCGTGTCGGAGTGAAATGGCTGTACAGCGCCTGTACGGCTTGCTCCGCCTGTCAACGAGGGTTTAGTCATTACTGCGCCCAGCAGAAGAATACGAGTCGACACGTGCCCGGTACACTACAGCAGTACGTCATCGCGGACGTGCGATTCATCACACGGATCCCGGAGACAGTCACAGATGAAGTCGCTGCGCCTTTGCTGTGTGCTGGTCTTACTATGGCGGGTGCAGTGGGTAGGTTGGACGACTACCGTCTCAGCTCCGGTGATTGGGTGGTGATTTCGGGGTCGGGGGGCGGATTGGGTCATCTGGGAGTTCAAATTGCCGCTCGGATGAAGGGATTCCGAGTTATTGCGGTTGATAGTGGGGAGGTGAAGAGGAAGGTTAGCTTGGAGTCTGGAGCCGAGGTGTTCATTGATTACCGGACGGAAGATGTTGCAGCCAGGGTCCGGGTGGTGACAGGGGGAGAAGGTGCACATGCGACGATTGTGGTGCCCGGGACAAGAGAGGCATTTGCGATGGCGCCGCAGGTTGTGAGGAATATGGGATTGATTGTTGGGGTGGGATTGCCGCCCAATGACATAGAGTGGCCTGTATCTGCGACGCTATCCGCGGCTAGAGGTGAGTTGTGATTATCCCATCCCTTGAGCATTATGCCTGACGTGGATAGGTCTTTGTATTGTTGGCTCGTCGGTGGGCACGGAAGACCAGATGAGTGAGCTTCTGCAGCAGGCAGCGAGGGGAGAGATTACACCTGCTATCGAAGTGTTCGAATTTGAGGAGACACCGCGTCTTGTGGATGGGTTGAAACATGATTCTATTTCCGGTAGAGCAGTGGTAAGGATACCGCAATGATAGTTGTGCATGTCGCCACCTGCAAATGCTAGGACACGACCAATGCGTGAAGAGATTGATGAATTTGTCAACTTGTACCCACCGAGGCAAGGGAGAGTATGGAGCTTGCTACTCGTTGATCGAGCTACATGGATAGGAAATGAGTGATGAGACTCCTACACGAAAGAAATTAAAGTAAGTTTACACGTGGAAACCTGTGAGAGGTGACTTGGCGAGTGCGCTAGAGATAACAAGGATGCACTCAAAGCGACGATTCAAATTGTGAGTGGAAAGAGAAGATGAAGACATGAGATGAGTACAGAACTCGGTTACATTCAGAACCTTTGCGCCGTAGCCAAGCCATGTGATTTATTCAAATATTTACAGACAGCCCAACACAAGTTACACACATTTTGGCAAGTCATGATAGCTCATTTGACCGAAGTCTTAAAGAATAGCCATTTTCGGGTCTTTGGCTGGGTTACCAGCTCCCCTATCAGTAGCGTTTTGTATCTCACCAACAACGCCTCTCGGTGATATTTGCGGAACTTCTTTGTCCCGTCTTTCCCTGCAACGCCATGCAGAACTAGTGTTGTCAGACTTTGGAAACCGACGTATAAAAATAGTGGACGTACTTCTGGCTCCGCCTGGATGCTCTTTCTGAAAGTCGGTCAAGTCATATACCTCATTACCAATGATGGTCCATAAATTATCGGGAGTATTGTGTTTTGAAACGTCTTCTGGAGTAAATCGTTCCATTGCGTGGGCGGATTCGAATGTTTGGGCCATTGTT